ATATATATATATATATAATTAAATTAATAAAAAATATGTAATTAGGCCAAATAAAAATCATACTGGGATTATTTTTTAGTGAGGGTATTACACAGTATACTACATGTAACTAGTGGTAAACAGGCTGGTAAATAATAATTGCTATTTTTAATAAGAATTATTAAAATGAATCTTTGTAGTGTATTCAGCCATTCATGTTTCCACCTCTTTTAGGCTTTGACAACCATCTTTCAGATATTAAGTTATTTTTTAAATGTGATTTTTTTTTTAAATAGTATAAATTTACTAGGCTCCAAAATTTGATGATGGTGGGATGTTAAACTACCAATTAATTATATTTGGCCTATAGGAATATTCATATAAGAATTAAAAAGTATTGCATATGAAATATAATGTCAAATTTACAATGAAGAATAAGAATTTAGTCATCATACAACATGGTTAGCAAATTGCAGGATTTCTAACCACCACACTAATACTAATAGTAACTATAGTGCACTTTGCTATGGATTAGATCCCTTGTCTTACAAATCTATATTTGGACAGTTAGTTTCCAAATATGGAGATGTAGCTTCTCTGGTAGAGATTGCAGACTGATCAGCAAATGGATCATTTTCTCCCTAAGGTCTACTTTGATGGCAAATGAATTAACATAAATACTGGTGTGTGGTGAAGACCAGGTAAGGGCAGCTTAGGTCAGCATATTGCACATGTGATTTTGTGAGCAAGCAATTATTGATCTGTAACACAAAGTGATTACTCAAATAAAAGATCAAAATGAGCTGAGACATTTTGAAAATTAACATAAAGACTTGTAGAATGCACAATGGTCAAATGAACTGTACATACTGCATGCACAACATTAGTATAATCAGTGGTTGTTCAAGTACAGTTCACAATGTTTATACTTTTGTAGCTTTTTTAAAAATTAAGAACATTACTGATTTATTTGTAATTTTTTAGTCACACCATTTTTAATTTATGCCGCTACAGTAGTGAAAATCTATAGTTACTGTAATAATTTCAATCAATAAACGAAGTTGTATGGCATAGTATAAGTAACTATCAGAAAGTACTGAAATGCAGGATAAAATCAAAATACATGGATGTATAATTCTCAGAATACTCCACTACAAATTTGGAGATTTAATTTTTAGACCAACATAAATTAAATAACTTTATAAAATGATCAAACAAGTGAACTTGACAAATATGATAAAGTGGGAGGGTAAACATAAGGCAAGACTTTAATTAAATTCTGACTAAAGGAAAGCAATGTTAAATATAACATGACAGTTAACATGAAATAATAGGACCTTCAGAAGAGTGATACAGGATTTCTTTAAAATGTAATTAAAGGGCTACACTGCCTATGATCAGCATAACTAGCATCACATACAGTAATTCATGTCTCTGTGTTGTATCCACAATAAACCAAGTGTTTATGATATTAATGATGACAACATGGGATACAGTCGGATCTATAAAAACAGTAGCCAAAGGAACTTCTATCACATTAGCTTCACATACAGTAGTCATTTCATAATGTATTGTATTTGATCATTTGCCAAATTATGATTGAGACTGAATCTAACAAGTTGCAACCTAACTGTCTCACAATGTGACATCAGAATGTTTGGCTGACTCACCATATTTAATAAACAATTCAATTTGTGAAAATTATTTTTGAAAAATGGAGAAAAAAAGGAAATTATTCAAATTTAAGTCTGAAAATACAATTTCCAGCCATCTACAAGTGCCATATTCAAAAATTGTCCTTAACTCAGCCCCAACCACGGTGGGCCTGACGTGGTCTACACCCTCTACTGCGAAGGTCCCTCATTACAGTACGTCCCATCTATTTCAAATCCCTTGATCAACCACTGATATTTAGTTATTTAATCGCATAGAGAAAATGTAAGACAGTATGGTAAGCTTTACGGTACAGTACTGTACTGTACATATCCCCAATCATTACAATAAGATTCATGTAAAAAGTACTGATCTGATGGTCACATGCATATTTTATTTAAATTCCATCTAGAAAAAAATGATGATTTATCATATTATAGGCCTATAGTTGCTAAACCTATTTTATCAGTGATGATACTAAATTCAACTAATTGTCAGACAAGTCCACATTATGTTTACACTACTAAGTGAGCATAGAAATATGTATAAATAAAGTGGAATACTCATTACAAAAATGAACAGCTTATCTACAAAACATAGACACTTGTCTATATTAAGCATATTGCTGTATTTTACACTTTTTAGATATTTTAGGCGCACCTATTTTCACAGGCCTGGCCTCATGCTGTACACCATACCCTATCTGTAATCTAACGCCTATCGTGCTAAACACATCTGTTTCCTGTTCTTCGTCCAATCAAATCCTATGCTGCTTCTTCGCTCCAGTGCTAAACTCATTGTACAAAAAGTGTGTGCAGTTTGATCCAGCGAATAAAAAAAAAAAACATGAATACATTATATAGTAGAGTATTATAAGATCAGATTATTTTAACACAAGTCTAATCAAAGCGAACATTCGCATGTGCAAAATAACCGCATTTATTTAGACTATGCCTCTCGTGTACAGTAAATTATTAATAATTTAAGATTGAAAAACTATTGCAATATTTAAATACTGTACCATATAGGTATGTCTTAAAATTGGGTCAAATGCATAGCTTTAAAGGTCATATACAGGTAGAGTAACTACGGTACAACGTGATATAGTATACCGGTAGTTGTTAGAATATTCAGATTCAGTACGTCATGCACATAAGGACGATTGAACTTCCCTTTGGTGATGTTCATCCATCCATACTGAAGAGGAAGCTAGCCTACGACATCAGGTTCTACGCAATCTTTCTAACTCGTTGAGGCAGTCATCCATATTTAATCTTATTTTAAAATTTGCTTTCTCTCCTTAAACCAATCAATTTCTGAGTTAATGGTATTTCAAATTACAGCTACTGTTTTTCGTGTAAATAAAAAAATTTTTGATAAATCACTAACTTTTGTTATAGTTTAAAATCTAAAAATAGAAAACACATTTCCGTTTATGTTATGTTTTCTGTAAAGTTGTTCCAGTTTTTTGTGTTGGTATTTCATGCATGAAATAAAAGTGACAATTGGCCATTCTTAGAGTGGATACAATAGATCAGAGAAGGTTATATTCATCAAGTTCAACTTCTATTTTCATAATGTCAAGTTGAAGGCAATTGTGTTCTCTGTCTACTGAACACATTCATTGATGGAATTCCAGCTCAGGTTCGTTTAAATCTAAAGTACTATCATGAAGTAGACTTAATTTTTACACAGTCTGCACAAAACTTAACTATCACACCTCAACCCGCTGGACCACAGTTCAAAAACAGACCGCAAGTTTCAAAATTTGGACCACAAAATATTAGAAATTAAAAAAAATAATTGATTGAACAATGAAATGATGCATGAATTAGCAAGATATTCAATTTTCAATTTCTTTTTGGTCTGTTTTTAAACCGAAAATTCGCACTCGTTGCTCTTGTGAAGTCCAAGCTGATGTGTTAAAAATAAAACTACTTTTTCCAGAAACTTTTTGTAGACAACAGAATACCCTCAAAGCAACAAATGCTGACTCAGAAAAAATTTCTTGACCAAAAGTGACTGGATCTTTGCCCGGTAATAAAAAAATAGTCATCCATGGAATGATTCAGATGCAGAACGCATCATTTTGCCAGCACACTCAGTGAGGTTCTGGACAAAGGTCTTTCGTAAGTCAGGAAGCTAATGAACGGCACAGTTACTGTAAGTCTGACTGCACTGACTGGTCTAGATATCCTTTGTACCCTATACAGTATATCTACAGTATACTTTAATGAGTGGTTTGACAAGCATTCACTTCACTACTACTCATAGGCTTAGCCAGCGAGCCGTCCGGCCGTCTTTTGGATGGCCTACAATTATTTAGGACGGCCACTTCTACCGTGACGGCTTGGACGGCTTGGCCTAATTAGCTCGGACTAGCCCAACTGGGCCTGGTATACACTTAGCAAATTCCTAATATTCTTCAAATCTACCAAATGTTATATTAAACTTAAAAGCTAAATCATATTTACGTTTGATAAAAACAAACTTTATTGATTGAATGTATGTTGTTTTTGTACCAATATTCGGTGGGGATTTCCAAAAATGTAAGGTTTAACCATTACCTACCCAGTGAAAAAATGCGGGTCATGTTAAAAACATTTTCCCCGGTGGAAAATGGGCGGTTCTGAGTCGCCCACAACACATGCACATGGGTCTTTGCGCATTCAATACTTGAGATTCAGTTCCCCGACACACAGTAATATTATTGGTGTTCATAACTCTCTAGTTATAATTTAATTTATGAAATACCGTCAAGAAGATTTATTGTTAACGTCACAAGTTAAATTTTATTAGTTAACAAAATACAGTAGGTCTAGCCCTATCTCTCGATTCGGAGGACCAGTAAAATTTAAATAAGACTAAGGCAACAGATGAAGATGCATCTGCATACTGTAGCCTAGAAACATTATGTGAGTGCCTTAGCCATGCGCAATCTAAGAAATATCTTTGTGACATTCAACACTATTCCTTTGAAGACAAAATTCCAGCATTTAAA